ACGGTAGCCCATGGCAACCCACTGCCACAGGGGCTGCAGCCTACGCCGTCGCCGGCGACTCACAGTAGCCCAGCTCCAGGTTGAGCTGTTGATCAGCGTCTTAGCTGTGGAGGGCAGTGTCACTGGCCCTCATATGTGGGATCCAAACCAGGGCCCTCTGGCGTCCCAAGCCAGTTCTTAACCATCGCGATACTCGGCTGGTCCTTAACTGTACAGTTTTGGCAAATGGCCACAGCATGTGATCCACAATCCTATTGAGATATTGAACCATTACCTCAGAAAGTTTCCTGAGTTCTATCACTACAGATCCATTTTGCTTGTGCTAGAATTTTATATAAATGAAATGTCTGGCTTCTTTTACTCGGTATCACATCTATGAGATTCACCCTGTTGTCGCATTCATTCTTTTTTACTGTTGACTGTTATTTCATGTAGGAATATATCACAATTTGTTTATTCCTTCTCCTCTGGATAGACATGTGGTTTCCCAGTTTGGGTTATCATGACCAATGCTGCTATGAACATCTTTGCCTGAGGGTTTTTGTGGACATATGTTTTCATTTCTCTTAGTTTTATACCCAGGAGTGAATTTACTGGGTCAAAGGGTAGGTGTATTAAACATTTTATTTTAACTTAAAACATATAAAAATATATTCCTTTGCCAATCTTTTGATGTAGGGCCAAGTCCTTTCTTTTAAGTATGGGTTCACTGATTGAAACTGCAGCTTGTCTTTTTTACATAAATCACACCATATAATACATTGACTACAATATGTAGTTTTTATTTCTTTAAAGGGGAATGAAACCTTAAAGATATTTAAAAGCAATTTGAATGCAAAATCCTTTTACATTTTCAAAATGCCCCCAGTAATTTCTTACAGTTATCTAGTCCACATCTAATTCTACTGTAATAATTTTTATCAATTTGCCCGTATTGACTGTTTCCAAAGAATTCACCTTAGTTTTCATAGTAATAATAATTTCCTTTTTATGGCAAGATTTTATTGGTTCATATAATTTTTAATTCAATTGTGTAAGTGTAATAATAAATACAACTGACATAGTAGGTTTGGGAACAAAACAATGGCTATTCATAAGCACTGGTGAAAAAATGAAAGGGTACATATCAGAGTGGAACTTTGTACTTGGTAGTAGATATTTAACAAGCACACTGACTAATGTGCAGTCAGTTTGTTTTGCAGAGAGAACGAAGAATGCTGGTTTGCTTTGATTACTATTACTGGATAATAAATACTCCCAAATTTAGCACCTTAAAGCAACTATTTAATTACGTTCATGGATCCAGCAGGTTATAAATTTGGACAGAGTATGGTGGAAAAGACTTATATCTGTTTCAAGATGGAGGGAGCCTCAGCTGGGAAGGCTTGATGAATGAAAGTGACAATGGCTGAGGACTGGAATCACCTGGAGGTCTCTTTGTTTCACATCTGGCAATTGATGTGAGCTACTGGCTGGGACCTCAGCTGGGGCTGCCAACTGAAGCCTCTCCATGTGGCTTGGACTTTCTTACAGTATAGAAATCTTCTTCCTGGGCAACTCAGAGCTTCAACGGACAGTGACACAGTGAATTTGTAAAAAATGCATTTTTTTGACCTAGTGTAGTATTTACTTCTGTTCATTACAAATAGATTACATTGAACATCTTTTTATGAACTTTTTTTCGCCCTCCAGATATCTTCTTTGGTGGTGTCTGTTCCAGTCTTTTACCTATTTTCTTATTGCATTTTTTGTTTTCTTACTGTAGAGTCTGGAGAGTTTTCTATGTATACATTCTGCATACACCTTCTTTGATTTTTGCTGATACGATATTAATTCCCCACCCCACAACCCCAAAGTCCACAGCTTGTCTTTTTATCCTTTTAACAGGTTTTTTTTTGCAGAACAAATATTTTGAATTTTGGTGAAGTCCAATTGATCAAGATTTTTCTTTTATGGATTCTGCCTTTGGTGTCATATCTAAAAAGTTTTACCTAATTTTAGGTCACAAACACTTTTCCTGTTTTCCTGTAAGAGTTTTATTTTAGATCTATGATCCATTTTTAGTTAATTTTTGTATAATATATAAAGTTTAGGTTGAAGTTCATGTTTTTGCCTATGAATATCCAATTGTTCAAATATCATTTGTTGAAAAAACTATCGCTTTTCATTGAGTTGTTATTGCATCTTTGTCAAAAATCAGTTTGTCATGCTTGTGTGGGTCTACCTCTGAACCTCCTATTCTGTTTCATCGATTTATGTGTCTGTGCTTCTGCCAATACCACATTATCTTTATTACTGATACTAAGTCTTAAAATCAGGTAATACTTAAAAAAACTACTGTAGTGATTTAGCTACTTTGGCTTTCTATATACATTTTAGATTTAGCTTGTCTATATCTACAAAGAATCCTGCTAGGATTTTTGNTCTGGAGGCCCTTGGCAGGTGGGATTCAGGGCCTGGCCTATGAAATGGGGAGTGAAGGGGATGTGGTGGTGGCGGCAGGGAGATAGCCTACTGAGAAGCTCCTGCAGGGTTTCCAGACAACATGGAGAAATAGGCAAAACTTGTCTTCTGGTCTCCAGTCTTTATTTTTCTGCTTCTCTCTATCTGTTTGGCTGTTCTCTGTCTTAAACCTGCTCCCAAAATAGAGCCTGAGTCTACTCAACTGTACTTTCAAGAACATTTTAGTCCATAGGCTTGCATCCTCGTGAATTTTTAAAAAGTATGCCCTGTAATTATGATGTGAAAAGCTCTTTTAATGGGATATTTAAGCTCCAGAAGAGGTAGGGAAGCCATCTTCAGGGGGCAGTAGGTTGGGAGAGGGAAGAGACATCTCAACGCTGTTGTAATTCTAACAGATGGATGGACAGACAGACATGCTTTGCCTAGGGAGCTATCTCACAGACCACCTACAGGCTGCTTATGGGGTTGCTGTTGAATTGACAAATGTCCTTTATCTCATCCTTTGTATTTAGATGATCATGGCCACTTGTGTGGTTTCCTGACTGTCCCCCCATCCTAACTCATGGCTGAGGTTTCTGACAGCCTACTTTTGCCTGTCTCCCAAAGTAAAGAGTATCTGGGGAACCTCAGTGTTGATCCCATAGCAAGAAGCCAATTTCCATAATTTTTTTTTTTTTTTTAAGGAGAGCGCTGCTCAAAGTGGCCTATGCCGGGGATTGAACCAGCAACCTTGTTGTTCAGAGCCTGCACTCTAACCAACTGAGCCACCTGGCTGCCAAATTTCCATAATTTTTAGCGCCCCTCATTTTGCAGGAAGACTTTAGCTTTATGGGGAAGAAACCAGAGGCCTCTGAGCAGTTTGTCATTTGCCTAGGTTGCCTCCTGTGGGTTCCAGCCAGATTCTAGTGTCACCAGAAATATCTCCAATAAGTATCAGCAGACTTTCAAGTCCACCTGAGAGGATGAAGCAGGTGTCTAGCTACCTCCTGCACCCACTTGCCCAAGTACCCCTGCCCTTTGTCAAGGCTTAACTTTGGCCTTCTCTTCTAGATGACACAGCTAGTTCTGAAACACATGGAATCAAGGTAAGGCCTTTCTTTTAAAAAGTGTGGAGCAGCATGGTCTCCCTGGCCTGGCCGTCAGCTGACTTGGAGACCAGGGAGGCTAGGGTTCAGCCGGCTGCTACTTTAACAAATGATGAAACTATGCTGAAAGGACAGGGAGATTATAGGAGAAAAAAATAACATTCTGGGCCAGGCCAGCTTTGCAAACAGATAAGCATACTTGAAGGTCAAATGTAACATAAACTGGAGGGCGGAGAACAGCAGTTTCAGCACACATTGTATTAAAAAAAATTAACTCATGTTGAGCATAAAAGAAACTTCAGAAGTTGGCCCGAGACCAAGACCATCTCTTTGTTATTATGAATTTCAGCTCTTGTCAGAATGAATACTCCAATTTAGTGGTAAAAATCACCACCCCATCATGCTTCCACTTATTCCATGTTTCTATCACCCTATTACAACACCCACTTGGGAGCTGTTTTTTTTCAGGTGGTATTCATGAAAAGCAAATGTTTGATAGTTTTATTTTTCCTAGAGGAAGAAGGGGCTTGGCCTTGTATTCTAATGTGCAGTTTCTTGGTTTTTCTGAATTGAATCCATCTACTTGGGATGGATTAAAGATATTGAATTTCAAAAGGATAATTAAGGACCACAGAAACTTGCATGGGTGCCTGTGTGAGCAGATGATGGACTGTTAAATTCCACCCAGGACAGGATTCTACATGTGGCATCTGTCCTGTTGTGGGTCATCTTTATGAGTCAGAAGGGATCTTGAGCTCATGTGGTCACTTTTGAAAGAGAAAGACCTCTTCCCCTGATTCTTGAGTAAGCCGAGTTGGTTTTCTGCATTTTGGTTGGGGACATTTGTTGCAGCAGAGCCCATTTCCAGTCCCAAGCCCTTGATGTCAACTGACTGCCAAGTGATATCATTGTGTGGAGCTGTAGTCTATGATGTAGGGGAAGTTCCACACATAGTTCTTGGAAGCAGAGAGCTTAGAGCACGTGGAAGCCTAGGGAGGATGGGGTTTTCCCAGCATCCACATGTGCTCCTTGTTTTCTTCCTTCTTGTAGAATGTGATCAGGCAGCAAAGCAACTGAAACTGCTTCTTTGCCTTTTAGGCGGAAAGGGCTCATCTTGAACATTTCTTCTGGGGCTGCCCTCTTTCCCTGGCCTCTATACTCCATGTATTCGGCATCCAAGGTGAGTGATAGCATGTATTTTAAGTCTTCTTCCCCTTCTTCCTCTTGTCTTTTCCAGTTGGTATTTTCCTTTGGATCACCTGGCAAGTTGATGGATCAATTTCCCAGGAGGCACTCTTCCATGTACAGGGTGGAGCTAGTTAGCAGGTGTTTGGGTGCAAATTAGATAAAGGTGCTGCCCCTGGGCTGACAAGGTCTGTTAGCAGCACCACACCTAGGCAGGTGCAGCTCCCATGAGCCTCCAGCCCTCACTCACTTCCTGGCCTGCTGTCTTCCTGCCAGCAAGTAACAATGTAGCTTCCTTCCTGCCCTGGAGGTCTAGTCAGGTGTCCCCATGACCTAGTCTTTAAAACAAACCCTTGGAGGAGGGGGTGCTTTAGACAAAGAGAGCTTCCCTGGGCTGGGTCATCTATATGCAGTGGCCGGGGGTATGTATTTATCCCAAAAGGTATGTTCCCACCGATTGAGGTAGCTCTTCCTAGACCAAGAAACGAAGTTCTAATTCCCATCAAGACAAGCTGCTTCATTTTAAGATAAAGCCATAAGCTCCTTGTGGTGCTCTTTGAAATCGGTGTAAGTTGGTTCTGATGGAGAACGCAAGCTCTGGGTCCTGAAGTGTTTATTTTTCTTGCTCCAGGCTTTTGTATGCACGTTTTCCAAGGCACTGCAAGCGGAATACAAAGCAAAAGGAATCATTATCCAGGTGAGGTGAACAGTTCTGAGTCTATGGGAACAGGAACTCTGGATCTACATGGAGCTGGGCCCCTGCTTCCTGCGGGACTGGCAGTGCACGTGCAGCCAGGAGGAAGGTGGTCTGGATGACACCATAGCAGTTCTTGGAACCATTGTGGTGACAGCTGTGTTACCTCGGTTCCACTTGCTGCCGCCCTCACCCATGCCCTGGGTGCTGGAGCAGGAAATGGGGCAGGGTGAGTGAGTACTCAGAAACTCTGTCAACCCTCTTGCTACCTGATGCTGAATCAGGACAGAAATGGGAGCCTACTGACCACCCTTTACTCTCTGCTATAAGTTCTGGAGACAGGTTAATGTGGGAGGAATTGGGGAGAGGCAACAAAAGAAAACTGGACACTCAGTCCATGTTGAAAAGAGTGGGGGTTCTTCCGTTGCGGGCTGTTTATCTGTGATGGGCCTCAGAGACCCTCAACCTTTGGTTCTTGAGCAGTCAGGAAAGAGGTGCTGTGTCTCCCCTTTCACCTATAATGGCAGACCCATTCTGGAGAGGGTCCTGTCCTAACTGTAAACACAGCTGCATTGTCACTGCTGTCTGTAGGCTGAGCAAAGTGATGTCTTGAGGTTTCAGTGACATACATGTGCTTGGTTCAGCAGCACAGAGTTAAGTGGTTTCTAGAGCCTGGAATTAAAAGTTTACAGAGGGATTTGTTGTTGTTTGGGAAAAGGTTGGACGACATACTATTAGAAATGCAAAAGGCACACTCATGGTGATATCTTTAAAATTATTGCTGTGCATACTGATTTTCAATTAAAATACCCAGGTGACAATATCTCAGGTGGCTGTTCTTAAAAATTAACCACCTATAGCATAAAACGTATTCAACAGGCAGATATGAGTTAGTGGTGAGAACTTTGAAAGTAACATCATTTTCCCAGCCACAGTGAGTGACGGTGACAGCCATGTCACTAGACCACAGCCCCTTTCTCTGCCCTGTTGAACTATAAAGTCTCACCTATCAGAGATTTCCTCTCCCCCATCCATTTTCCAGCTCCCAGCTGAAGATAGATTCCTTTTGCAACAGTGCTATCCCATGTAGGCTAAGTATGCTGCAGTTTAAAAAATAACCCTTGGAATCTCACTGACTTAAAGCCACAAAGATTCATTTCTCATTCATAATACACATTCACTGTGATTTGGTGGTGGTGGTGGGGATTAGCTCATTGTAGTGACATAAGGTCCTAGCCTAATGGAGCAGCTGCCGTCTTGGATAATGTCAGTTGACATGCCAGAAAAAACTGGTAGAATTCCAGAGGATCTGGCTTTGATGATTAAGGACTCTAGCTCAAAAAAGACATGCCATGTTTGCTTATACTGATCGGTCATATTTGATCACCTGGTCTCACCCAACCACAGGGGTCCAGGAAGAGCAATTCTATCATGTGTCTGGGAGAAAAAAGAATTAGAAATATTTGGTGAATAACAGTAATAATTACCACAGCTACTTGCTTCCTAGCCATGTGATGGTCGTAGCATCATCTTGATCTTGATAATTGTGAGCCACAGATGCTGTAGCTACCAAGTTAGTCGGTTCTGTTGGGCAGCAGGGGTGGGAGGAGTTGGGGTAGGAACAGGACCCCCTTCTCTAATGCAGAAGACTTGGAGCTACTCTCCTAGCAAATATGAGAGGGTGAAAACACTGTGACCTTTCAAAAACCAACTAGCCTCTCCAAACACACACATAATTAGTGCTCAATAAATATTTGTTAAATGGGTGAGGAAGTATGTACTATACACTTGGATTTGATTTTCAAATGCAAGCTCTGCCATTTAAAATCTGAGGGATCCTGGAAAGCCTGCTTAAACTCTATGAGCCTCAGTTTCCCCATCTGTAAAAAGGGGTTTACAATACCAGCTCATATCTCTGGGTTATTGTAAAGATCTAATAAATAGGAGAGATCCAAGATGGTGGAGCAGATAAACACTGTGACTGCTTTCTTCCATGAACACATTGAAATTACAACCAAGTTCCAGAACAATCAACCTGGAAGACCATCTGAAGTCTGTCTGAACAGAAGTTTTATAACTAAGGATATAAAAAGGAGCCACGTCAAGACTGGTAGAAGGGGTGGAGAANGCACCACTCTGCCGGCCCTCAGAGCTCACACTGTTGAGTGAGCTCTTAACCAACTGAGCCACTCGGCCAGCCCCAATTATTTTTTTATTTTTAAAATCTTATAAATATTTTATAACAATCTACATCCATATATAGGCATCGTTTTGTTGTGGTTAGTGATATTGATATTTTGAGTATTTTTGTAATGGCTCTATTAATTCACATATTTATTATACAATTCACCCATTTAAAGTATACACTTTGATTGTTTTTATTATATACACAGAGTTGTGCAACCATTGCCACAATCAATTTTAGAAAATTTCATTACCTCACATAGGATTCTCATACCCAGGCAGTCACTCCCTGTACTACATCCCTCCTCCCCAGCCCCAGGCAACCACTTACCTACTTTCTGTTTCTATGGGTTTGTTTATTCTGGACTTTTAATATAACTGGAATCACATAATGTGTGGATTTTTGTTATTGGCTTCTTTCACTTAGCATAATGTTTTCAAGGTTCATTCATGTTGTAACATGTATCAATATATACTCCATTCTTTTTTTTATGGCTGAATACTATTCTATTGTATGGATAGACCACATTTTATTTATTAGTTCATTAGCTGATGGTTGTTTTCATTGTTTGGCTATTATGAATACTACTGCTATGAACATTCATGTACAAGTTTTGTGTGGACATATGTTTTCACTTCTCTTAGGTACATACCTAGGAGTGGAATTACTTGGTCATATGGTAACTCTATGTTTAACCTTTTGAGGAACTGCCAGACTGTTTTCCAAAGTGGCTATACCATTTCTACATCACCCCCAGCAGTGTATGAGGGTTCCAGTTTCTCCACATCTTCACCAACACTTGTTCTTAGCAGTCTTTTTTATTATAGCTATCCTAGTGGATGTGAAGTGATATATGATTATGGTTTTGACTTCCGTTTCCCTGGTGGCCCATGATGTGGAGCATCTTTTCACATGCTTACTGGCCATTTCTCTATCTTCTTTGGAGAAATCTCTACCCACAGTATTTGTTCATTTTTAAATGAGGTTGTTATTTTTTACTGATGTGTGTGCATCCTTACATTTCTGATTCTTTCCTTGAAGTCGAATTTCTGGATGAAAATGTCTAAACATTTTACAAGCTCCTAATACTTACTACCAAGTTGTTTCTAGAGAAGTTGTATATATTTATACCTCTATCTTTAGCAGTAGTTCTCTCCCAGGCGGTGTGATTTTGCCCCTGAGGGGACATTTTGTAATGTCTGTAGACATTTTTGGTTATCCCAACTCAGGGAAGGAGGATATAACTGGCATCTCTTGTAGGTAGAGGCCCGAGATGCTTCTGAACATCCTACACTGCATAGCACAACCCCCTTCCCTCCACCCAAGATGGAATTATCTGGCCTAAAACGTCGATAGCGCTCATGTTGAGAAACGTTGATCTTTGGTTTATAAGGGTTTCTGTCTCAATATACTACTAGTTTCATCCATCAATTCTTGGTTTTAGAATTTTGTTAAATTCTGTCTGGTCAAATGATTAACCATTATACTTTTACATTATTTCCCTTTGGATCAGTATGTCTCCCTTCAATAAAAACTGGAATGTGATATATTCAACTCACTCCCTCTAGTATTTGTTGCGATCTATTATATATTACTTATTGCTAGACCCAGAATGGGCTACAGGAAACCAATGAGACATTAACTCAAAGAACATAATGATAATAATGGTTTACTATTATTTTTTATGCCAAATATGTGTTACAGATATATACATTTTCACTCATCACAGCACACAATGAAGTAAGTATTGTACTAGTTAGGTTTAAGTTCACTTGTGAACTTATAATTGTATAATAGAGTCTCCAACAATGGCTTAAAAAAAAAAGACACCTATTTCTTTTTTGCATGTAAGTCTGTAGATAGGCAGTCCAGGGCGGGAATGGCAGTTCTGCTGAATGAAGTTTTAAAGCACCTAGGTTCCTGCCAGCTTAACCACTCTACCCCTAGGGTATCTAAGATGGTGGCTGGATCTCCAGTCATCACATTCAGGCAGCAAGGTGGAAGAAAGGAATGACAAAAAAGGAGCGAAGAGTGTATGCTGGTTTCATTTTAAGGAAGATTCCTAGAAGCTGTCACTGGATACATTCTGTTATTTCTCATAGGCAGAACTTAGTCATGCAGCCACACCTACCTGTCAGGAAGGCTGTTTTTTTGTGACAATGTACACACAGCTAAAGAATTCTATTACTGTGACAATAAAAGGGTAACAGATATGGAGACAAGAGCAGTCTGTGCACAATTTCCCCCTTCCTTTTACAGATAAAGATATGAAAGTCCAGGGACATTAAATTGTCATAAGCTACACTGATTAAAAATGCCAGACCTGAGATTTGACCCTAGTTCAAATAACAAAATTCATGTTTTTTTTTTCTTTCTGTTACGTCACATTACCTTTCACTTAAAGTTTTAATGAGGTTCCAAGACATGAATCAATTACAAAATAAGGCAGATGTTTTTAAAGTGTTAGAATAAGTGGCAGAAAGCAGTAGCCCCCACCCCCACCGCCCCCCCTGGCTTTTCCTGGCAGTGGTTTTAAAAGCTCCCATGTGCCGACCTCACACTAGAGCTGTGACTCAGACCTCTGGAGAGACCATGAAGCAATTTGAGTGGCAGAGGCCCTTGACTGGGGCAGGGAGTTGGGCAGCTCATCAAAAAGGTTGGTTAAATCTGGGAATCACAGAGGATAACACATACCTTAAACATCTTAAGAAATTATTATGGAAAATTCCAAACATACACAAAGCGATCAGAATAGTATACTGTACCCTCATGATATGATTCAGCAATTATCAACATTTGTCATTCTTGCTTTATCTCTAGCTTCACC